TGTACCCCCAAAATTAGATTCTACCATCTTTGTGCATAGTTATTTAAGTAAATTTGCATGATTCTGTAGAAGTTACTCATGAGGAATGGCACAGAATTAGGCAGGGGAGTTTAGCCATTCCTCCTGACCATTGGCAGTCTTAGGGTCAAACTACTTATGCCTCCACACGGCACCCTCAACGAAGCTCCATGTTGGAAGGTGGGATTCTCTATGCCAGGATTCTCCAACGTGGTGCCCATGAGTACCATAACACCCACTGATCAGTGCCGGATTCATGTCTAGGCTAAGTAGGGCCTAGGGCCTCTATGCCGGATTTATGTCTAGGCTAAGTAGGGCCTAGGGCCTCTATGTCTAGGCTAAGTAGGCCTAGGGCCTCTAAATCTAGAGGGCCTCAACAGCCCCCCCAGCAGGCAGTCTCCCCTCTCCCCTCAGCATTCCGAACCACTATACCAAACTGACCCAGCCTCCTCCCTGTCCCATTTCCCAGCTCTAAAATAGCCTTCAGAGCTGCTATTTGCCCTGTTGGGGTAACCATCCACCAACATTTGCTCTTTAACAAGGAATGTGACAAACTTTGCCTCCTCCACAGCACGTGATTCACAGACTGATTGTCAGCATCAAGCGTAACTGTTTGCCTTTGCACTGAGAGCAACCCATGTATGACTTAGTACCGGTTCAATAACTCTGCCAGCCTCGGGCATTTCAGGAATCCTTTTATAGGCTGGGCAAGGAAACAGTTGCAGGGCACGATTCCAAGAGCCTATTGTGGTGTCATGGTTGGATTTGTGACACCCGAGTTCATATCCCCACTGAGCCACAAAGTTTTCTGGACCTTGGATTGTTCACTCTCTTCCTCGGCCTAGAGGAGTGTTTTGATGACAATGGAAGAGTGGAGAACCGTGCTGCTTTAAGCTCCTCGGGGGAAAGGGTGGATAAATAGAATTCCCTACAGTTGGGATGCTGGCGAAGAATTCTTATAAAGGTCATACCCTGCCTTGTTTCCACTTTGGAACTTACGAGGGTCACCTATGGCTGCTTTTAAGAGCAGCCAAAGTAGACACATTGAGAAATCCAGTCATGAACCTGTCACGCCCTCCCTAGTTTGGCCTTAGAGAGAAAGACAGACAGACGAAATTAATTAACAAGGCTCAATTTTAATTGGTGTCCGAGCATTAAGAACATCCTTGTAACTTCTTTCTTCTCTGCTCCATTTTATCACTGCAACAACATCCCTGTGAGGGAGTAGAACAAATTTAGAGTGTTTGTTCTCCTGCTTGGGATCTGACAGATATGAGCTGTCGTGTGCACACCCACACTTTCCCAAAAACATTGGAATGGTAGGTAAGGTTCAAACTTATAGATGGCCTAAACAGCAAATTAACATGTAACGTGATGAAGATGTGCAAAGACAAACTAAATAACAAGCTAGGGTTATAAGGTCAACAGTTGTAGAGCAATAAATATGTCAAAATAGCAGATAACTGTGTAAAGGTAGCTTTTCTAATTGTGGGAAGTAAACTGATACTCCACATTCTGTCCTTTCAGGCGTGGAGGTCACAAGAGCATTTTTTTTCTTTTTTGAGGTGGATGCAGCAAAACATCCCAATAGTCCTTGCATTAGATTCTAATATACTATTCTGAAAAAGAAATACCTAAAATACAGAAGATGTATAGTCCTTCTTGTTGAGAATACATATGTGAGACTGAATGAGTTAGCATATCTGTCAGCTAGCTGCCATGTTTTGCTTGTTCCTGTCTCTGATCCTGGTTTGCTCACTGCTCTGCCGCTTGCAGTAAACATTGCTAGGGAGACCGTGAGAGCCAGTACTGCTAGAGGCGTTATCTGTCTGGCCTTGAGAAAGAGGGAGGGCTTGCGTTCCACCGCTGGTGTGAATCTTTCGGCTCTCATGAGGCACTGCGACTCTCCCGCTTATCATGTATCCTCCCGCTGGGAGAATTCCCGCCCATGTGCTCGAATTTCATTTGCTTAGCCATTTGCCTCATCCTGCTATATGTAAGGATGTTTCCGCCCCATGGTCATTCCTAACAATAATCCTGTGGATATGGTACCAGTTTTGTAATCTAATAAAGCATAACGCTCCCTTGGAAACGTGTGTGGAGATTTACTTGCTGCTGAACTTGGCAGCTGGGAGCAGGGGGTGGGGCTTGTTGCATGTGCCCGCCCCCTGGGCTCCTTACTGCCGGAACTCCGCTCCTGTGCACTCCCGCAGGAAATGACCCCTGTGCAGTAGCCAAATCACTCGCTCACAACTTTAATGCCAGTAGCTCACAAATTTGAATTTTTGCTCACGAGACTCCACAAATTAGAGGGAGCATTGGTGGTCTGAATATGATTCAATGGGGGCAGAATATTGGGCATGCTATTAAATTTGAGCAGTGGGATCAAATATGGAAGAAAAATATTAGGATTACGAAAGCTATTTCGTATAAAGAAAAAGAAACCAATATCCCTTTTGAGTCCTTGGGAGGTTTTTGTTCCAAGTGTTGTAATAACTTGTAATTCAGCAATTTCCCTTTCCATTCTGTTCCTGAAGTTCTTTTGTAATAAAACAGCTCCTTTGAGGCCACCCACTGAATGTCCTGGAAGGATGAAGTGTTCTCCTACAGGTTTCTCAGTCTTGTGGTTCCTGATGTCACATTTGTGTCCATTTATCCTCTGGTGTAGAGTTTGTCCTGTTAGTGCTAGGCAGAGGATCGAAGGGCATTGTTGACATTTAATGGTATATACAATGTCAGAAGATGAGCAAGTGAATGAGCCTCTGACTATGAGGGTCTGACTGTGAGGAAGGTTAGACTATAACAGAGTGACTACCCCAAGGTCACCCAGCAAAATTCAGCTGCAGGGTGGGGGATTTGAACCCGGGTCTCCCAGCTCTTAGTCCAATGCCTTAACCACTCCCGTCCCTCCTACCCCCTGTAGGGCTCAGATGTTTATCTTCCTCCCCCTTTTGGAATGGCCTGTGAATAGCGATGGCAGAGATGAAGCTGGTTCAGCCAGGCCACTCCAGTGACAGCTTGCAGAGGGCATAACATGGAGGGGTGTCGATGCACTGTTGGAGCTTGGGTCACTCCTAACTGCTGCTGATGTCATAGGAGATTACTGGCATCTGCTCTCATCCACTCTCCAAAGCACCCACTTTCTCAAGGGGAAACTGATCTCTGTAGTCTGGAGAGAAGCTATAATTCCAGGGAGACCCCCCCCAGGTCCCACCTGGAGGCTGGCAACCCTAGGCTTGGGACAGTTGAAGCAATACCAGAAAGAGATTGCTTCTTGAGAGGGGTGTTTTCCACATTGGGACAGCCTTGTGTAGTTTTTCCCATAATTGCTGCGGCATACAGTGGGGGTTTCCACACAGTCATGTTTCCCCAGCAGTTTTTTTTCCCCAGTCAGTGATTTATCAATACACTGTTATACCATAATATACATTGGCTTCCTTGAAGCTACAGCATTCGGTTAAAAAAGTAAGCCTCTAGCTCATTTTGTTGTGGACATAGAGACTTCCTCCCCCCCCCCCCCAAGAAGACAGAGAATTCCTTTCCCCCCCCCCAAAAAAAAATAACAGCTGGGATGTCAGAAAACCTGACACGTATTTTGATGCAACTGAAGGCAGAGCTGAGTCTATAGTCTGGCTGTTGGAGGAATAAATTCATACTTAGGCTTGTTACTTAGAAAAGAAATTTGTGCCTGTTAAGTGCTGTCATGCATCTTCCGACTCATGGTGACCCTATGAAAAGGACCTCCAAAACGTTCTTTCGTTAATGAACTGGTAAACTGAGGGCTGTGGTTTCCTTTGTTTTTGGTGAGTATCTGTGTGTGTGTGTGTGTGTGTGTGTGTGTGTGTGTGTGTATTTGGCAACCCGAAGGGGCCCTAGGAAGTCAAGATGGCATTCCCCTGCAGGAAGGACTTCAGAGTATAGTAACATGCCGAGAAGGCCTGCGACCACTGACTGCCGAGTGGAGGAGAGAATGCGCTTGGTGGGAGAGAACCGTGCAAGTAGATCAGCTTTCCCAGAAGGTGATTATAACATAACCTGATAAAACATTTATGAAATGTAAATGGAATTTTGTCACTAAAGCGCTTTTGCTTGCAGGGGAAAATCTGCAAAGAGACTTTTAAATTGCCCGTAGATTAAAATTTGGCAGGACCACCAAAGGCCAGATTCGGGAGACAGTGTGAGCTTGCAGGTTCCCGTTAGCTCCAGACCCAAACCTCTCCCTTCGAGAGATTCCTGCTCTATTTTGGGTGCCCTCTGCTGGTCAGATGTTTTCCTGTAGTCCCTCCTATCTACAGTATCTGAAGAAGCAGGCGTGCGCATGAAATTTTATACCCTCAATTGAACTTTGTTGGTCTTAAAGGTGCCACTGGACTCAGACTTCCCCCCCCCTACCTACAGTGTTCTTTTTTTTCTTCCGCCAGTGGCCAGAGGACAGGAAGGCAATGGGAGATCGAGGCAGGAGATCTCCCACATCCGGTGAGTAAATAGCAACCTATTAGGAAACATCTGGATGTGAGTGAAACCCTGGGTAGGGTTGTCAAATCTGGCCTGGGAAATTTGGGGGGGGGGGCGGGTGCCAGGGGAGTTTGGGAAAGAATGTCACCTAGAATCTATGGTATACCATAGAGCCTGTCCTCCAAAGTTGCCATTTTCCTCAGGGGAACTGACCTCTGTTTTCTAGAGATCAGTTGTAATTCTGGGACAACTCCAGACCACCCCTGGAGGTTGGCGACCATAAGCCTTGGCCATCCAGAAATGGAGACAATTCTGGTCAGAGCAGAAGCTGGGCCATAGAGGGTTATCTGTGACGTAGACCATTTATGTCCCTAACTAACTATGCCGTGGACACACAAAGATTCACACAGAGTCAGCCCATTCCTGAAGGCCTCAGTCCAGTGAAGGCTGCAGCGTGCCAGTCCGGGCCAATGGCCAGGTCTGAATCTGCTCGATCAACTGGGTCAGAAAGCTGCACCACTTCCTTGTCAAGGCTCGAGGGAAGCTGCTGTCAAAACCGTCCCTGGGTGAAGTCGTAGTATTCTGGAAAAGACAAAAGAAAACTGCTGACTTCAGCCCTGCTGGGACATCCATCACGGAGGCTGAAAGCAGTCTGGATCTGCTCCACGGAGATCCGGCATGCGTTAAATATATTTAGCATGATTTAATCAGTGCGGGCAGGAGAGTATATTAAAGTTGGCTAAAAGGATGTGGGAGGTAGTCAAAAGGACCATAGACAGGGTCCTTGGGACCCCAAAAGCCAGCTGTTTAAGAACACCCACAGACAGCATGGAGGAGGAGGAGAAGGAGGAGGAGATTGGATTTATACCCCACCCTTCACTACCCAAAGGAGTCTCAGAGCAGCTTACAAACTCCTTTCCCTTTCCCTCCCCACAACTGCTCGTGAGAGAACATCTCTGAGAGAACTTGTGACTGACCCAAGGTCACCCAGCTGGCTGCATGTGGAGGAGTGGGGAACCAAACTCGGTTCTCCAAATTAGAGCACGTATATATGACTGCAACATCTTAAACAAAGTGTAGTTTGTTTTCTGATCGCCTGGACCAACCGTTTCCAGCCTTTTTGATATGGTAACCCAGAAGTCCAAATTTGCTTGGAATGGAGACCCATCCAGGGCTGGGGCAAGGTTTTTTGGTGCCCTGGGCGAATGATGACCTTGGCACACATCTAGTTGAAGGAGGAGGAGAAGGAGGAGGAGGAGGAGGAGATTGGATTTATGCCCCACCCTTTACTTGGAGTCTCAGAGTGGCTTACAAACTCTTCCCACTCCCCACAACAGACACCCTGTGAGGTAGGTGGGGCTGAGAGAGCTCTTTCGAGAACGACTCTTTTTCAAGAACAGTGCCAGAACTATGGCTTGCCCAAGGTCACCCAGCAGCTGCAGGTGGAGGAGTGGGGAATCAAACCCGGTTCTCCCAGCTTAGAGTCTGCGGTCTTAACCACTACACCAAACTGGTTTTCAGCTTCAGGATAGACAAAAAGAAACACTGCCTTTTATAATAAATTCTTAAGTACATCCCTGCTACTGCCTTCCCACTACTGACCTGAGAGAACTGGGACAGTGTTGGGAGCGGGGCAAGACCCACTTGAAAACAGTCTTGTCAACACCTACCTGAGGCTGGTGGGACATCAGCCGTCACCGTTCCAGTTGCACTTGGTGGCGGGGGTGGAGGGACCACTTGGCTATGGGAACCAATCAAAAGGTAGTGATAGCAAAATTGGGACAGGCAAGTCTGTGTACCCCACCATGGGACTTCCATGCACAGGTGCAGAATTCTGCCTCCCACTCCCCCAAATCAGCGGGCGTGTGTTTTTAAGAGCCAAGGTTCTAGTCCTTATGGCTGTAGAAAAAAACCACCTGTACGCTGTGCAAAAGCTCCAGGAAGAGAAATGAAAGAGGCTTTCCGGAGCTCTATATCATGGGGGCTTCAGAGCTCTGCATAGCTTCCTTTGTAGTCTTCCTTTGTAATCAGCAGAAGAGGCAGCCATTCATATTTTGCACCATATAGAATCATAGAATCATGTTGGAAGGGATCCCCATGACCATCTAGTCCAACCCCCTGCACAGTGCAGGAAATTCACAACCTCCCACACCTGCAGTGACTGCTGTTCCACACCCAGAAGATGACAAAAAGACCTGACCCCAAAGTAGCGATCAGCATTTCCCTGGGTGTGTAAGATACGGCTACAAGAACTAAGCAGTGATGCAACCCTTCCTGCCCTCCTTCTCATGACCTGCCTCAGTTCACAGGATCAGCATTGCTGTCAGATGGCCATCGAGCCCAGGGGTGTCAAACATGCGGCCCAAGGGCTGGATTAGGCCCCCAGACAGCTTCCATCAGGCCCGCAGTGGAACTGGCCATCTCCTGCTGCCAGTTCTGCTGCTGCTCCTGCATCATAGCTTGCTTCGCTAGACTCTCTTAATCACTCGGCCAGTTCATGTTTTAACCTGGGTCCTAGACTCAGAACTCTGAACATGAGATTTCTGTGGTGAATGTCAATAAATCAAAAGTAGGTCTACAGCTTACAGAGCTAATGTTTTAAGCATGTTTTTATTTTAAGTTTTTTAAAAAAACCTTTGTGTTTGTGTCTTTTATAAAGTGTATATCTCCGCTACCTGGCATTACATTTTATGACACACATGGCCTGGCCCAACAAGGTCTCATTTATGTCAGATCCGGTCCTCATAACAAATGAGTTTGACACCCATGATCTAGCCTCTGTTAGAAAACCTCCAAAGAAGGAGAGCCCACCATCTCCCGAGGAACCCTGTTCCATTGAGCAGCTGCTCTAACTGTCAGGAAGTTCTTCCTAATGTCTTCAGCCAAAAGAACCATTGCAAATTTGGAAGTGTTTGGTCTCAGCAACAAGCAAAAACACTGCCAGCACTGGCAGAGAGAGATGCTGATCTTATTCACATAGGCACATTTCACAAGGCTTACTACAGAATTGTTCCTCTTTCTTTGCATGGTGACTATTTTTAATTGGAAGCCTGCTTTTCCACATCAATGATTCTCTGTGTGGTTTCTGGGTACCATTTCCCCCATACTTTCCTTTCCTCAGTCTTCCATTCAGGCTTTTAAAAACTGGAAATTGTTAGCCCGCTATAATGTTTCAACAATCAGTTAATTCTCTGAATTCCCAGTTTTCATTAACAAGAAGAAAGTCTCTACCTTTCTCTTTGCACAGCCACAACAAAAAAGGCTAGATTCTTACTTGATTAAAAGCTAGGAATCAGAGGAAGTAGTAGATCATGCCAGTTGTCATTACAGTGTTAGGAAAGAGCAAGAGTCCAGGAGCACCTTAAAGACTAACAAAATTTGTGGCAGGGGAGGAGCTTTTGGGTCACTGCTCACTTCTTCAGATACCTGAAGAAGTGAGCAGCGACTTATGAAAGGTGAGGTGCTCCTGGACTCTTGCTCTGTCCTGCTGCTACAGACAGACTGACACCATCTTGATCTGTCATTATAGTATTATATCACTATACTGATCAAGCAATTGCCAATTAAAATGCCCTCGACTGAAGCAAGGAAAATAGCACCAATATGGATGAGACCTCTGAAAACGCAAACCTTCCCATTCCCACATGGTGATGATGGTGTACAAAGGTGACCTTTCCAAAAAAGACCCAAAAAGTTTGGAGGCCAAACTGGAGCAAAACCTCTGCGTGGAAGCGACAGCTTGCAGCCAATCCTGTGACATCTTTATGGTCTCAGATTCACAAGAACCGGCCTTATACAGAGCCAGACCCTTGGCCTATCGAGGTCAGAACTGACCACTCTGTCTGGCACCGGCCCTCCAGGGTCAGAGGGAGAGGTCTTCCCCACCATCTGCTAACTAGTCCTTTTAACTAGTGATGCTAGGGATTGAACCAGGGGCCTTATGCACGTAAAGCAGATGATCTGCAGAGTTATGAGGGCTGCATCTTTCCCTTTACACAGCCAAAACAATAAGGGCTAGATTCTTACTTTAGCTGAGCCCTGGCCCTCTGTCAGAGTCCCACAGCAATCCGTTCCCAACAACTTCCATTCAAAAGAGTGAAGTTTATTGAATACAATAAAGGCAGGTCATCTGTGCATACATCCTGTGTTAGAACTAATTGCAAGTGCATGCAATGGGGAGTTATACATAATTCAAAGGAGTCCCCCTGATGGGTCTGGGCCAATCAGGGAACAAGCAAAAGCCCACCTAACCTAACGGGTCTACGTTCTCAGAGAAAGCAGCAACAAGGTACCAAGGTCACCAGCCTAGGCTAGAAGATAAGACGAGGCAGGAAGAAACAAAAGTTAAGATTCCATTACAGCAACATACCATCCATCACCTCACCACCACCACCTCCCACCAGCTATGGCAGCAGCTTAGCTGACACCCTTCAGCCTTTGCATTGCTGGGATGCAAGTCTGAGCGCTACCCCACACACAGGCTCTCTCCCAACCATACTCACTCATCCAGTCTTGCTGCAGGCTGAGGATCTGGGCCCACGTGGCGAATAGTTGGCTGAGGCCAAGCCGATGGCTGAGACTGGGGCTGCCACGCTGTGGGGGGCACAGTGTTAGGGTAGGGAGTGTAATGGTGATGGAAAACTAGGGGTTCTGGGTCATCGTCTTCGTCATCTTCTACCTGCCAAGGGAGATGGGTGACCTGCGAGGAACAACGGAGAGGAAGAAGACCTCAAAAAGGCTGCATCCCAGGGTATGGTTGGGGCACACAATGTGGGAGCCTTGGAGATGCTGAACAAGCCAGGGTCTGGTCAGTGCCTGATCAGGAGCTCCAAGAAAGCCCCATGGACAATCCAGGAAGCTCTCATATTGAGTCAGACACTGCCTGGAATTTTATGGTAGGCAGAATACAAATGGAGTAACGAAACCAATCCCACTTCCCTTCACCATGGGAGCCCTGTATCTTTTTTTCTCACTGGCAGAAAAGTAGTGATGGGAAGAGAGTGGGTGAAGTGTCATACTGGAAAGACCCAGGTTCAAATGCGGAATTCGCTGCCACAGGAATAAACAGCTTTAAAAGGGGATTGGAGAGATACATGGAGGATACTAGCCATGGTGACTGAGGGGAACCTCCACATTGAGAGGCACTAAACCTCTGAATCCCAGAGCCAAGAGGCAGCATCAGGGGAAAGCCTCAGGCTCTGTGCCCTGTTGTTGGCAGTCAAGAGGATATAGTTGCCCCCTGTGTAAGACAGAAGGCTGGGCTAGATGGACCACTGGTCTGATCCAGCAGGGCCCTTCTTATGTACTTATCAGGGAAGGCCTCGGCCTCTATGCCCTGTTGTTGGCCCTCCAGAGGAACTGGTTGGCCACTGTGTGAGGCAGGATGCTGGACTAGATGGACCACTGGTCTGATCCAGCAGGGCCCTTCTTATGTACTTATCAGGGAAGGCCTCGGCCTCTATGCCCTGTTGTTGGCCCTCCAGAGGAACTGGTTGGCCACTGTGTGAGGCAGGATGCTGGACTAGATGGACCACTGGTCTGATCCAGCAGGGCTCTGCTTGTATTCTTAAATCCCCACCTTCACTGATTGACCTTGGGCTTTCTCTCAATCTTACCTACCTCATGGGGTTTCTGTGAAGATAAAGTGGAAGAGGGAAGGGGAGAACATGGATGCTGGCTTGAGTTTCTGGGAGAAAGGGGTGGGGATAAAAATACAACAGAATGGTAGTTTGGATGTGGATTTTGACCTCAAACGTGGGAGGAAAAGGAAGGTGAAGCAATTGCTTCCCCTTTGCCAGTCTTCTGTTCTCCGTGTGCACTTCCCATCATCGCTATTCACATTATTTTTTGTTAAGCTTGCAAGGAGGAATCATGGACCGGCTCACCACATGCAGTTGAGTCTTACAATATTTATCTATTTTGGCTCCTGGTACACCTGATGTTACCTCATATTGAGTCAGATCCTTGGTCTATTGAGGTTAGTATTGTGAACTCTGACTGGCAGCCACCATTCAGTGTCTCAAGCAGAGGTCTTTCCCAGGCCCGTAGCTACAGTGGGGCATTTTGGGGCCTGCCCCCCTGACTTCCTGCCAAGGCCCCCCACCTTCCATCCAGACTCCAGGCCCCCGGCTCTCTGGGCTACCTGGAGGACTCATTATTCTCTGGCCCGCCTGGAGGACTCCCTATTGCTGCCCCTTCCCCAAGCGTGGCTCGCTTCCCCATGTAGGCAGGCAAAGTGCAAACACTGCAAAAATGAGGGTTTTTTTCCCCCCAATTTAATTTTAATTTTATTTTTTATTTTGTGATGTCAGTGCCCCCTGACTTATTTGAACACCTGTGCTATCTTGGCTGGGGGTCCACCAAGACTATACACGAGAAACATGGTCTGAAATCTAGGTCAGTAACAAAGCCAAAGGTCGAATAGCCGGGAAGTCAAGTCAAGATTGCAAGCTTCCAAGGACCAGGAGCCGCTGCTGCACACTCAGAAGCAGGTCTGATTACCCAGAGTTGCTGCCACTGAAGCAGCTGCATGGAGGGTTTGTGAACAGATCCTTCCTTCCCTGGGAGTTGCTTACAGCTCCTCCCGTTGCCTCTGCAGGAGCTGCCGCCTGGCACTCCTTCTTCGCTCCTGCATAGTCAGCCTCTGGCATGCCCGACGTCTGGGGCACTCAGGAGAACTTGGTGGGGAGCCTGGCCTTGGGGTGTCTGCAACTGGGGGTGAGGGTGCTGGGCCAGGCTCAGGAATGATCTCTCCTTCTGGCTGCACCTCCTGTGCAACTGCTGGGGACTCTTCCTCCTAAGGGACTGTTGAGGGTTCTTCTCCTGGGCTGACTCCAGAGGAGGCTGCATTGCTCCCTTCCTCTTCCTCATCTGAGGAGGAGTCAGCCTCAGCTGAACCAGTTTCCATGACAACACCCCCCCCCGAATTACAAAATCCTGGCTACGGGCCCGGCCTTTCCCATCACCTACCCCCCAGTCCTTTTATCTGTTGTGTGGAGAATTCTTGGGAAAGGCAGTCCGTTTCCCTCAGCCCCGTAAAGCTTACGGACTTTCTCTCCCATCATGCCTCATGGCAGGCATTCACTCCATGAGCCTGAAAATGGGAGGGGCTGTGGCTCAGTGGAACAGCCTCTGCTTGGCATGCGGAAGGTCCCAGGTTCAATCCCCGGCATCTCCAGTTAAAAGGACCAGACAGTAGATGGTGGGAAAGACCTCTGCCTGAGACCCTGGAGAGCTGCTGCCAGCCTGAGTAGACAATACTGGCCCTGATAGACTGATGGTTTGATTCAGTAGAAGGCAGCTGCCATGTGTCCATTTACACTCTTGAAATTTAGCATACAGCAGGGCTTTTTTTCCTGGGGGAACATGCCAGAACGGAGTTCCGGAACCTCTTCAACAAAATTCTTTTTTAAAATGTCTAAAAGCTCATGAGTTTTCAGTACACAGATTAAAAACTTCATTTCCCTCTCAAGAGTTCTTGCACCTCTTTTTCCTTTAAAAAAATAAAGCCCTGGCATACAGGGCCCCCGATCACACGCAGAATTTGCCACGGGATACTCACAAATGCCGGCCCGGTTTTACTGGCGCGATCAAACAGACACATCTGGCCAGTGTCCTGCACCTGTCAGCAACCCGTAGCAGTCAGCCAAAGAAGCAGAGTTTAGAAGTACCCGGGAAAATCCACTATCCACTTGTTGCGACGGCCTGCAGTCAGATGCTCTTCCGTGTGATCGCTCCAGCGCACTCCTCTCGCGACCCTGCTTCCTGGTTGGAGCGCGCCGGAAACACCCGGCGATAGAAACAATGCCATCGCGTCTGATCGCGTTGGGGCGTGTCAAATTGCGACGGCGCAAATCACCACACCTCCCCCCTGCGTTTTCCGGCATGTGTGACCGGGACCAGGATATATTTTAAAAGCTTATGGCACAGTCCAAAGCTCTTTCAAGCCCACTGATTTCAAAAGGTGAGAAGTGGAAAGCCCCGTACTTGATGGGATTTAAAAAGCACTTACAGTAGGCTGGCTCATAAACGCAAGGGATCAAGCTTTATTACTCATTTGATTGACCAGCGAAGGACAATTTTAACAGGACATTTGGGGGGGGGGGATTTAGCACCTCAGTTCTAGATACCTACCGGGGCAGCAGATTGGGGCGAGCAGAGCCCAAAGGAGGCCACTGCTGACATGGCTAAGTTGTTCATGATCACCTGGTGCATCTGGGCATTTTGAATCATCATGAGCTCCATCAAATCTGCCCAGAAAAAAAGGACAAAAGAGATAATGCAGCAGAGAATGAAGAAAGGCTGACGACTGACACAAAACGGGAGGGGGGGGAGCGTTTGCAGTCCGCGTCAGCTTTTCATTAAAATGAGGATCCTGGCCAGTGACTAAGGAATTTTTCCACACTGGGTTTTTGCTGCAGTTCAACTTCTTTTTTTCTTTTAAAATATATAAATATATACCAAATATAGCTGTCAAAATATCAACATGGTCCTATCATTTTTTAAAAAAATAACATAAATATATACAAAATACTGCTGTCAAAAATATTAACACGGTCCTATCATCACCACCAACAAAAATATCTCACAGCTATTCTTGCTATTTAATAAGAAAACAATGGTTTATAATAACAATGATTCTCTAATTCCTCAAAATATAAACACCACCAATACCACACAGAAATTGCTCTAAGTAGCTCACAGAAGACCTGAGGAAAAATTCCCTTCTATAGCCTTATCATTCCAAAACATCATGACCATAGCCTACTGTTCCATAAACTTATCTGAAATATCAGAAGAATTTCTTGGTCCCAGTCACACAAGCGGGATGATCCGCTGCAGAAGGGAGGCAAATTAGAGCGGGAGCAAAAAGAACTGCGGGAGTGCGATCCGACGTGCCCCCACGGCTCCGTGCTTCGTGCTCCGGCAGCCGATCACATGTTGTGCAGCAAACTGGCAGTAGCGCGGTTGTGCGCATGCATGGGATGGGGAATGGTGTTGGCTTCGACAGGCTACCAGCGCTTCCCTGACCAGACGCCTGGAGTTGCTGTGCATCATCCGGAAGGTAGTGCTCTGTTGCTAGTACCTTTTAAATGCACGTTTTCGGGCCAAAGGGACGGATCGGGGACGGGTGCGTGACACTTCCCAGATGTTGCAGTGTGATCGAGTCCGCTTGATGTGCCCCCGATCTGTCCCTCTTGCAGGGCAAATCCTCCCGTGTGACCAGGGCCCTTAATATTCTTTGGTGATGCATTCATGTAATAGGGATGCCATGTCCCCCCGGCCGCTGATGGGAAATGGGGGGGGGGAGTAGAGTTGCCCGATCCACGCTGGGAAACTCCTGGAGGATTTGGGGGTTGAGCCTGGGAAGGACAGGGACCTCAGTGGGGTACAAGGCCACAGAGTCCACCCTCCAAAGCAGCTATTTTCTCTGGGGGAACTGATCTCTGCAGTCTGGAGATTAGTTGTAATCCCAGGGGACCGGAAGCAATACGTTCTCCCAAACAGAATTCCTTGGAACTGGAGGGCCTGCAGTTCAACTTCTTAACTATGGCCCCGGTCACACAGGCTGGAAAATGCGGGGGGGGGAAGCGTGGCTGTTTGCCCCAGAGCAAAATAACGCGTGGCCGCCCGATCACACGTCCCGTCGAGGTCCTGTGGTTAGGGCATGAGGTGCCGATCACATGGCTATCCTGCAGCGTGGCAAAGAAGTGGCATGGCGTGATCACACCAGCAATCGCCAGGCGCCGCTTCTGTGGCAAACGGGAATTTTTTTTCTCACCAAAAGGTGAGCATGTGCATGATCATTTGTGCGCATCCTGTGAAGACTTAAAAAAAAAACTAACCGGTTTGCGACGGGACTAGGATGGGACACGATCAGACGCCTGGCCTTGCCCCGCGTTTTCCAGAAACTAGCACATGTACTAGTTTTTACTCCGTATCTTCGGCACGAAGCCATGGGTTAGCCACGGGTGCACTACACTTCCAAGATGTTGCAGTGTGATCGCGCCCGGAAAATCTGCCTATCATCCGTATCTTTAGCGTGGCAAATGCTCTGTGTGAACAGGGCCTATATTGGGCTTTCCTCTCTCCTACAGATGGAACCATTTGCTGGCCGTTGTTCTCTCCTTTGGGGGGAAAACCTCAGGAGTATCTTGGCAGCAGCATGGCAGCGGTGACGGGGTGGGATCAGGACAGCAATAACTAACAAACAGCCCCATCTGTAGGGGAAGGCGTGACCTGATGTGGTTCGGCAGCCCAGCTGCAGCCAAATCTCAGCACAGAAAAGCCCCACGTCAAATGAGGTTCCAGAAGGTCGAAGAGAAAATGAGTACAGACAAGTTCAGAAGGCCGAGCCAGGGACTTCAGTGGAACTTCCAAGTGTGCAGGGTTTAGAGAACAATTATTTTATAAAAAATAAATAAAGCCCAAGCAATCCTTGCTAGTTTGACTTCCTAGCTTTTAACAGCACAAGAGGAACTGACAACGTTCCTTTGGGGAAGGAAAAGGAGCACCCTTCTTTTCATTTTTTCTCTACCTTTCTGGGCAACGATTGGCTCTAGCAGGATGGTGGATGCCTGCAAGGGGAAAATGCTGGTATAGGACTGTAAGGCTTACTTGCACAGGCCAAAATACAACTGAAGAACCATTTGAGAATACAATTAAAGAACCATTTGTCTGTAATGCCAATTCACAGGGTACCGAGGTTGGGAAGCTGGTAGACTGGGGCCCTTTCTGCACTCTTCCTTTAATCCATGCTCACCACAGTGTCCTCCAAGCAATTCTGTACTAAAATCAAATTCAACCTTCTTTAATCCAGGTTTCCCCCCCCCCCATTCTGCACTAAAATTGAGTTCGAAGTTTTTATTCTGGGTCGTCCCCCCCCCAATTCTGCCAGCCGAGTTTCAGCCTGCTGTTGCCCCCGGTTATTTGGATGTTAATTTGCCATGGACTTAAATTGCTTCAACTGGAACACTGAGAAAATCTAGACTGGCAGGCAAATGTGGAAAGGACCCCAGGCTGTGGTCAGACACACCAAATAATCCACTTTCAAGGCACTTTCCAACTGGATTTTGCCAGTTCACACAGTAAAAATCCAGTTAGAAAGTGCATTCAGTCTGTCTGACCGAGTAAAAATCCAGTTAGAAAGTGCATTCAAAGAAGGTTATTCAGTCTGTCTGACAGCAGCCTAAGGCTGCAATCCTATAAACCCTTTCCTGGGAGTAAGCCCCACTGAATAAAATGAGGCTCACTTCTGAGTAGATCTGTTCAGAATGGCTCCCCGTACGCCCTTTTGGCCCCATTGACCTCGGACTGCATGCGTAACATTTCATGGGAAAGCTTTTGAAATCCCCGTGTCAGGCACTTTAAGAAACGACTTGCAGAAGGTGAGGGTCAATGTCTTTCTTGCTTCAATTGGACTGCAGCACAGCTACAACAACAAAAGCTGGAATGGCTTTTTCTAACAGCTTTGCATTGGCTGTTCTCAGATATTTTGTTAATCAGAAGGCCAAAGGTGAACCTTGTGTACAAAAACACCTCTGAGTTGGTGCTCGGATTAATTAACCAACCCTTGGTCCGTGGGCAATGCTGCATCTGTCATTCGCTCCACGTTTTCTCACCACCGAGGAAAAGGTGCAGCTGAAAATCCCATTCAAATACCGTACTGCCGTACTGAATGCAAAGTCACTTCAGTCTATGCAGACGATACAATAAACCGGATGATCAAAGGAAGGTAAAGCAGCATGCAATGCAGAGGAGAATTTCTGTTCCAAGGTGGGTTTGGTGAAACAACAGAGGGAAAAGCCAGGGGTCATTTTGAGGGGGGGATGAGCAGGAACGGCGTTCCGGGAGTAACAAGCCCAGGAGTAGGGAACCCAGGCATGCTTGCATGCCTGTCCTTTGTCAGGAGGTGTGGCATATGCAAATAAGTTATGCTAATGAGCTCCTGCACGACTTTTTCTACGAAATTACCCCCGGGAAAAGAAGAAGAAGAAGAGAGGAAGAGATTGGATTTATACCCCACCCTTCACTACCCAAAGTAGTCTCAGAGCGGCTTACAAACTCCTTTCCCTTCCCCTCCCCACAACAGACACCCTGTAAGGTGGGTGGGGCTGAGAGAGCTCTGACAGAAACTGCTCTTTTTCAAGGACAGCTGTGCCAGAGCTTGTGACTGACCCAAGGTCATATCAGCAGGTGCAAGTGGAGGAGTGTGGAATCAAACCCGGTTCTCCCAGATTAGAGTCCGCACACTTAACCACTGCACCAAACTGGTCAATGCAGCATCGCTGTCTTCCACTCTGGAACAGAATCCATAACACCCCCAACATTGGAATGTAGCAGCTCTCCTTTTCCCGATTTCCCCCTTCTGGTCCTAAAAGCCAGCTCTGGGATTTTCCGCGGAGAAGGCAAAACCCTCTGGCTAGTGGCAGGCATGTTCTTCTTATTTGCTGGTTCCTTACCTTCTCTGATTTGGCCACCTCTGCTGGACGGAGGAAGAGAAGATGGAATCCAGGGAATCTGCTGGAGGATGGTCACCTCTGGCTGTTGGGCAACCTGGGAGGAGAAATTCAGTCCATTGGAGGGAATCCCCAGCCATCTCCCCGACACAACAGCCACTTTTCCCTGGCTTAGATTTTGCTGGCTCTAATACTGAGCGATTCTGCAGCTAGCATTCACTCCACATTTTCTCAACTGGGAGGGAAAAGTGCAGCTCAAAACCACATTCAGATACCTCGGGGCAATGCTGTATCGACTGAACAGTCACCCCTGAACGGCTGTGAAATGGCCATACATCTATGCAGAAGGTGCAGTAAAACCGAATGATCAAAGGAAGTGAAAAGCGGCATGAAATGTGGAGGCTACCATAAAACCCAATGATCAAAGGAAGTGAAAGCAGTGTGGAGTGTGGAGGCTACCACAAAACCTGATGATCAAGGGAAGTGAAAGCAGTGTGGAGTGTGGAGGCTACCACAAAACCCGATGATCAAGGGAAGCGAAAGCGGCATGGAGTGCGGAGGCTACCATAAAACCTGATGATCAAAGGAAGTGAAAGCAGTGTGGAGTGCGGAGGCTACCATAAAACCTGATTATTAAGGGAAGCGAAAGCAGCATGGAGTGTGGAGACTACCATACAACCCGATCATCAAAGGAAGCGAAAGCAGCATGGAGTGCGGAAGCTACCATAAAACCCGAAGATCAAAGGAGGCAAAAGCAGCATGGAGTGTGGAGACTACCATAAAACCCGAAGATCAAAGGAAGCAAAAGCAGCATGGAGTGTGGAGACTACCATAAAACCCGAAGATCAAAGGAAGCAAAAGCGGCATGGAGTGCGGAAGCTACCATAAAACCCGATGATCAGGGAAGTGAAAGCGGCATGGAGTGCGGAAGCTACCATAAAACCCAATGATCAAAGGAAGTGAAAGCAGCATGGAGTGCGGAGGCTACCATAAAACCCGATGATCAAAGGAACTGAAAGCGGCATGGAGTGCGGAGGCTACCATAAAACCCAATGATCAAAGGAAGTGAAAGCAGCATGGAGTGCGGAGGCTACCATAAAACCCGATGATCAAAGGAACTGAAAGCGGCATGGAGTGCGGAGGCTACCATAAAACCCAATGATCAAGGGAAGTGAAAGCGGCATGGAGTGCGGAGGCTACCACAAAACCTGATGATCAAGGGAAGTGAAAGCGGCATGGAGTGCGGAGGCTACCATAAAACCCAATGATCAAAGGAACTGAAAGCAGCATGGAGTGCGGAGGCTACCACAAAACCCGATGATCAAGGGAAGTGAAAGCGGCATCGAGTGCGGAGGCTACCATAAAACCCGATGATCAAAGGAACTGAAAGCGGCATGGAGTGCGGAGGCAACCATAAAACCAGATGATCAAGGGAAGTGAAAGCGGCATGGAGTTTGGAGGCTACCATAAAACCCGATGATCAAAGGAACTGAAAGCGGCATGGAGTGCGGAGGCAACCATAAAACCAGATGATCAAGGGAAGTGAAAGCGGCATTCAGTGCAGAGGGGAATTTCTGTTCCAACGTGGGTTTGGTAAAACAACAGAGGGAAAAGCCAGTGCAGAATCAGCCACTGTTGCAGAGGCTGATTTAACAACAGCTACAGAAAGGATGTGCATCACGTTGGACCTCAGGGGAGGGGAAGCACCCCTCCCCCAGCTGTGTTTACTTTGCCATCCTAGGCCTAGTGGCTTCAATGGACTTAGACGGGTTTAGTTCAGCTCAGGAAGGTACTGAGAATCTCCTCCAGCCATGCAGGGCTGTGCTGCTCTGAGCAAAGAGAAGTCGGTTTAGCCCAGGGGTGTCAAACATAAGGCCCGTGGGCCAGAACCAGCCCGCCCAGGGCTCCTACCCAGCCCACAAAGAACTGGAAATGTATTGAAATGTAAGATCCCCCCCCCTTTTATGGCATCCCTTGGGAAAATAGTCTTGCATATGATTAGATACATTTACTGGAGCTTTGGCATGTTCCCCAGTAAACCTATTGCTTTCACTGCTAGGAATCAATTGCTTTGGTTTGCATTTTGCGTAAAAAATAATATTGTTAATTGGGTTTGCCTGTGTCCTTTATAAAGTTTCGATCTCTGGTACCTGGCATTACGTTTCATGGCACACATGGCCCAGCCCAATGAAGCAACATTTATGTCAGATCCGGCCCCCGTCACAAATGCATCTGACAGTTCTGGTTCAGCCCATTCTCTGGGGGCTGTTTGTTGGCTAAAAATTGCCTCCCCCAAAGCGGTTTTTCTGCTTGCAGGAGAGACAGAGAGAAATGGAGGAACAAGGTGCAAAGGAGAGTAAATTTTACAGACTGACAAATAATTTGTTAAAAATTATTTCTAATGATATTCTGTGTATGATATGAAGCACCTAACACACTTTCTGGTGTGCAACAGGAAATCTAAACAGTTTATAACCCAGAGAAACTTTATAAATAGACTAAAAGAAAAGAACTCAAGATGAATATTAACGAAAGGTGTCACACTAGTTTGTAAGTTTATTTTAAATAAATGTTTAACGTGATGGAATATTTGTATTCGCATTTACGCGTTATGTATTATTTACATTGATTGGATTTATACCCCGCCCTTCACTACCCAAAGGTGTCTCAGAGTAGTTTACAAACTCCTTTCCCTCCCCACAGCAGGTGGGGCTGAGAGAGCTCTGACAGAAACTGCTTTTTTTTCACGAACAGCTCTGACAGAACTATGGCTTGCCCAAGGTCATCCAGCAGGTGCAAGTGGAGGAGTAGGGAATCAAACCCGGTTCTCCCAGATTCGAGTCCACGCACTTAACCACTACACCAACCTGGTGTGGCCTTATTTTCTTCCCTTTTTCTGCTTGCAGGACACAAAAAAAGGTGTGGACTCCGTACTGTTCCTCTGTGGGTAGAAAAGCAACGTGACCTTTGATGGTGAAAAGGGCGACAGAATCCGACCACAGTTGGCCGCTCTGATCATATCTGGACACCCCCCCAGCAACTGAAGTGAAGTAAAAAATACAGTCCAGAGATGCTTCCTGCATCCAGATGCTCTGTGTTTTCTCCGGGGATAGGCTAACTGTGCAAATCCCCCTGGCTGCTTCTATTTCTAGGGGTGGCACCACCACAGCTGGTGATCGGTGTGCTCCAGAGTCCCTTGCAATGCTGTAGAAGACCCTGTTGCACAGCTGGGACTTGTGTAGCGTGGGGAAAATGCCTCATGGGTGGCCCTGAGAGTTCTTTTTCCTGCAGGAGAGCCTTGAAGCTGCAGTGGTGGAGCTAAGTTGGTCCCTCCTGCGTTGGGGAACAGAAGAGGAGGATGCCTTCAACAGTGTGACACCTGGCCTGAAGCACAGTGCCGTCCCATTTAGGAAAAGATTGGGTCAGCATCTGGTGGGGATGCTTTTGGGACAGATGACCTCACAGGAACATAAGGGAAGCCATGTTGGATCAGGCCGATGGCCCATCCAGTCCAACACTCTGTGTCACACAGAGGCCAAAACCCAGGTGTTGAGACAGAAAGACTGGGCTAGATCCCATGAGGTTCCTTTTGTGCTCTATTGCAGCCAGTGTGGCTAGTGGTTAGAGTGTTGGACTAGAATCTGGGAGACCCAGGTTCAAATCCTGCTTTTGCCATGCAAGCTTGTTGGGTAATGTTGGGTGAGCCGCTCAGTTTCACCTCCATCAAGGGGTGGTTGAAGTGAGGGGGCCGGGGAGGAAGAGAGGATGATGTAGACAACTTTGGGTTCCTACTGGGGGGGAAAGGCGGGGTACAAATGAAGTCAATGAAAATAAATAAATCTGTGGTCATTTCCTTAAGAGCAGATGATGGGTAAGACAGTACAGTCCTTTTCCCATTATCCTCCTCCACCCGCAGACATGTACTGTCAGGGTCAACAGCATGCAAGTCCAAGCACACTCTTCAGGAAAAGTTATGCTTTATTGGAATACAGTCTTGTTGCCAAGTGGTACAGGTATATTGTCAGAAATAACGATTAGTGCAAGGAACTCAATACATATACTCTGATGCCTCATCTAGCTAAGCAAATGAAATCCAAGCACACGGGTGGGAATTCTCCCGGCGGGACATTACATCATAAACGGGAGACTCTCCCTAACCCCTGAGAGCGGAAATATTCACACCGATAGTAGAATGCAAACCCTCTCTCCTCTTCAAGGCTACACATATAGCGCTGTCTGGCTGAGCCAGTTCGCATGGCCCAAGGAGCACCTCCCTTAAGTTACCCACGGCAGCTAAGCAAAGCAGGCAAGGAAGCAAGCATGCGCGCATGCGCTAAGGTCAGGGACGGAAGAAAGCAAAGAAAGCATGGCAGCTAGCTGACATGTACACGTGGGACGGAAGAAAGCAAAGAAAGCATGGCTGACATGTTACACATGCACCACGTTTTCCTGTCTCACATTTTCGCCTTGCCTTTCCATCAAGAAATTTCAGGGTGGTGGCTGGCATACATGGTTATTTCCCTTTATTTTGTCCTCACGAGCACCCTGTGATGAGTCGAGAGACGGTGACTGGCCCAAGGCCACCCAGATTCATGGCTGCAAGTGGATTTGAACCTGGGCCTCAGTCCAGTGTTCTAACCACCACCCCACACTGACTCTGAGTGGAGTCCTTTTTGTCTCCTGTCGAGAGTTAGGGGAAGGGATAAATTTGGTCATGGCAGGACACGAGCTCTCTGTGTCGGTGTTTTCTGTCCCTCCTCCATCTCAACATTAGGGGTGCCAACCTCCAGTGAGTGTTAGCCGAATTGCTTTATTTACAGCAATTGGCAATTTATAAATGGGTTCTTGCCAACTATACCATGGTCCTGTTCCCACCAAGGGTTACCAGAGAAGGAGTCGGCTGGTGTTGTTAAAATAAATGTCTTTTACTTAAAGAAAATAAATCTCATACAAACAATACTGATGCATACACACATTCAATCAAGTTCCTCGGAAATACAGTATTAAAATAAGCACGTTTGCATTAGCAAATGGAGGTGATGATGGGTGATACTTTTCTGTCTTCGCAG